ATACCTCTGGAAGCAAAATTTGGACAAATATAACTTCTAGCACAATTTACCACTTACTTTTCTAGCCTTTACTTGCTTTCACTATTGCATATTGGATTGCAAAGTAATTTTGACTTACTTCTGAGAGTAAGTCTCTGGTACACAGGCCACTTCTGAATACCTTTTTACTCTGTAACTGCCTTACCAGAGTTTTTTTTTTTTTCTTATTAATAGTTCGATCTTTTCAGATCAAGGCATCATTTTTGCCTCTTTAATTAACTTACTCACTTTTTCTATTTATCTGCATGACCCAGGAGAGCTATATTTCCTCCTAGCTTGGCAGCACTTCAGAATTGTGTCTCTCAGAAATCTGTAAGAGCTCCCTCAGAGTCAGAAAGGCAGGGTTTTTTCCTGTGACTTTCCTTCCCAAAGTGGGAGCTTTGTTTCCTACTTTTCGATTGTATCACCAACCCATCCACACTAGTTTACTTCTTCAGGGTGTGCTGTGGCTTTCTTTTGTCTGTGCAGAGCTTTGTCTTATGAATTACTACTTTATATAAATCTATACTTACATGACTTGAATAGTATTGTCTGTGCAGGTACTGCACACCTTTCCATATTATGGTAGATTCCCAAATAATGAAAATGCGGCCCCAGAACATCATCTGTGTTTAGATTTTTGTTCTCATTAGATGCCAACTGGATTATCCAAAAATGGGTAAAATTACCCCCCAGTGCCTCCTCTGAAGCATGTTTTACATATATTTGGTAGTCTCTGGTTTCATAGATCTTATACCTTTTCTATTTAATGAATTAGGTTTGTCATACTGAAATGCATTCCAAAAAAGTCACTTTTTTAGAATACTTTAAAAAGTGAAAATGAATTAAGATTGAAAATGAATGAGGATAACTATGTTAAATTGCTTGCAGCCTATGTTAAATAGGCTTACTTGAATGAATCTCGAGTCTTTTCTTGCCAGGCCAGGGACTTCATGGAAATAAGCTCCTAGTACCTAGAGACTCACCTAACAAATCATCCAGCCCATGCTCTCCCAGGACAGAGTGACTCCCCTGCCCATTTGCACCCTGTCCTTATACAGGTTTGCTGCCAAGAGTGGCATGAAGGGGCTGTTCATGAGAATGCTGGAGAGCCTGGACACAGAACAGAGTCTCAGCAAATTACTCATTTTTTTTCTAAGCCTCAGTTTCTCTGCGCTTCCTCCTTACCCCACAGGGAAGTGATGCAGATTGATTATGATTTGCAAGCACTGTAATTCTTAGTTTAAAAACATACACACACAAAACTAAAAAAAGCCAAAAAAAACTATGTGAGGCTAGATTATTTTCCTAAAAGGTGTCTTCTCTACTGATGACATTGGAGCAGTTCCTACTACCTTTTGTTATGAAATGCTGTACAAATCATATAATCAAATCCAATGAAACAGATATTTGGAAAGCTACGTAAATGATATTTCTGAATAAAACATATACACAGTTGCATGTACACATGTGCTCACGCATGCACACACACGCATACAATGGGTCATAAAATCCTGAAGCTGATTTTCTTGGGGGCCTGTGTTGGCTCAGCAGGCAGTTCCTGGAGAGGCATTTCCAAATGTTTTCAGCTATGGTAGCATGATTGAAATATGTTGCATTAAACCTCCCAAGGCAATTCCTTTTTCAGGGAGAGGACACAGTTATTGTTATTTTGCTGGACTTTTTTGCTAGGATAATCTTTGTGGTCTCTGAGGCCTAAGCCAAATCAATTTTCAAATAAGTAGCATAGAGGGTATGATTTATATGAATTTGAATATAGAACATACTTGTTTTGCTGCATACGCAATAAATAAACTCGTTTTGTTTGGTTGAATTATGCCTGTTCATCCAAAAACCATCCTATAACATTGAAATGAATAACCAGAATTTAGGCAAATGCTTTGAAGAGCAGAGCTTATTTGAATTTATAAGTTCACGCATGTTGTTTTGATTCAGCCTTTAATTGCAGCTTGTACATTTCTAGGCTAGTGAACAGAAAAAAACGCTACCATTGCTATTTTAATTGTATAGTATTATTATGCAAAAGGTTTTTTAACTCCATACTCTATATCTATTTTATTTTAAAGAAATTTTTATTATTTTAATACTTCTGCTTTGTTTTTTATATTACAGCAACTTTTTACAGATGTGGCCACTGGAGAAATGTCCAGGGAATTAGCTGATGACATAACAGCTATGGACACCTTAGTGCTAGAGCTCCAAGACCTGAGCAACCAGTTTCGAAATCAGTATTGATTCTGCTGAAAGCAGATTCTGGAAAAGGTGTTTTCACCTTCTGGTAAAAGATACATCTGTATATCTGAAATGCAAGATATTGATTTTTAAAATAAATTTGTTTTACGACTTAACATTCTTGGCTTTGTGATGTTCTCAATTTTATATGCTTTCTGAAGTACATTGAATTTTTTAAATTCCCTATTTCTTTAGGGCTAATTACAATTGAGTTCAGTATTTTTATAATTCTTGAGGTAGTTTGGCACAAAGAGCAAATAAATTCATTTTGTTTTAAATATAGGGTTTATTCTCTTTCAGCCTAACATTAATTGGATCATGCTTTGGAAAACCTTAGTCTAAACAGGTGAAAATCACATACTACAAGTTTGTGAAATCATTAGATTGACTGCTTTATTGTTCAAAAGTGATAAAAGAGTGGATTTGGAGGTAGAAACATTTATGGTTCTTGAGATTTTGTGCATGTTTCAGAAAGATACAGACTTGGTGAAACTGGAAATGTGAGCATAGTTTAACTTCTAAATCAAGAAAATGCAAGAAAAAAATGGCATAACCTAAATTTTTACTTAGTTACCAGGAACTAGGCTGTTGCCCCTTCATTATGTATTCTACCGGCCCCAAAGATGGTTGTTTAATTAGGGTATTATGGGTGAAGACAGCTATTAATGGTGCCATATTACAGAAATGCCAAAGTAAAATGCTTTCAATGTCTGTGGAACCAAATATTGAAGGCAGCAGCTGAGCTTAATAATCTTAGTACAAAAGACATAGTGAGGAATTCTAAGTCCTGCCTTGCGTTGCTAAATTTTGGGTCCCATGTATAAATCACTTGGCCCTTTTTTCTTTTTCCATGTTGCTATATATAAGATGTAAATAATTTCTACTCGTAGCTTCCTTGTGAGTTTCAACTGCCTTTGGAAACTTAATTCATAATCCATTAAATATTCTGACCATTTAAAAACAGTCTTTAAAAAACTCTTTCATTAATGAATTTTGGTTTTGAATGCTTACCAGTGCTCAATGCTCTCATTCCTTAACCACCTGCTTCTTTTCTATTAGCATATTAGCCTTAAAAAAAAAAGTGGGCCTATACCCCAAAGCAGTTTCTCTTATAGCAGAGATAATACCTGTGAGAAAGACCAATACAATGAGTTAACATTAAGGGTCTACTTAAACCTTTTCTAGAAGTCATTGAGGAACAGATGGGTGAATGGATGGGTGGATGCTTGAATGGGTGGATGGAACAAGGTTTTAAGATTAATTTTTATTAGTATCAAGCTATAAACCCTAATAGAAAATGGATAGAAAATAAATACTGAAAAGGACAATCATTCCAGCAATCAAGTAGAAGACTGAAGTAGAACATCAAAGTTGTAGAAGTGTTTAGTCTTCAGTTTGCTTTCCTTGGGTTCAAGGTAGAAAGGCATCAGTGATTGTGAGAAGTCACAAACCAAGTCACAGAAGAGCTATCTCCTCGCAGTCGCGTTCTCCAATGCTGTGCTGGACAAAGTCTGTGCCCTCTTTTATCTTGGAGTGCTCTCACAAAAGCAAGAGCTATTAGATGTTTTCCTTTCTTTAAAGGCATAGATCTATTAGGTTGTTTTTTTTTTTTAAATCTTACTTATGTGAGTGTTTAAGATAATTGAAGAAAATGTGTGGGGAGGTAAAGTAGGGAAAGCATGGGGTTTTCTAATTAAAGCCTCATCTCTCCTACCTAACATTTAATATTTAATTTAGCTACTTGGTTTTTTCATCTGACAGATGAGTGTGGTGATAATAGCACTTTCCATCAAGTTGTTCCTCTCTCTTAAAACATTTTCACCTAGCCTCAGAGTTAGTGATACAGAATCTGTATGTACTCTAGCCTGGGTGACAGAGCAAGACCCTGTTTCAAAAAACAAAAAGGAAAAAACCTTAAAACAATGCTGTATTATTTATTATACGATCTTTGGTGCTTGGTGTTGATATATTATGGTTAAATACTTGTGTTTCCAAATGCCTTATGTTCTATAAGTTTCACTTTGGTTTCCTAATATTAACACGTTTGCTTTCAGAATTATTCTTTTGCTTTTTCAATTAGAAAAATAGAGAAGATATGATCCTCTAATCTTACTGCCTTCCCAGATTGTGAATAATAAATATAATAGCTACAAGTTACTGAGTTCTCATTATGTACCAGGCACTTCACATAGCATCATCTTTGACCATCAAAAGAGCCCTGCTAGGTCTGTTCGTGATATCACTAGAAAACTAAGGGTCACAAACTCTAGAAAGAGAAAGAGCCAGGATTTGAAGACTGCTAAAGCCTGCATTGTTTCTGCTTGTGCTGAAGCTTCCAGTTGACCACTGATTTCAATCTTCTCTTTCTAACAATGGGATCTGGAAAGTTTGCCCGGCATCATTTATAAAGTTCTCCAAGTGTGATGTCTCTGTTAATAATAGCCTGTGGTTTGTTAAGGTGATTTACTCTTGGCCGGGTGTGGTGGCTCACGCCTGTAATCCCAGTACTTTGGGAGGCCGAGGAGGGTGAATCACCTGAGGTCAGGAGTTCGAGGCCAGCTGACCAACATGGTGAAACCCTGTCTCTACTAAAAATACAAAAAAATTAGCCGGGCGTGGTGGCGGGTGCCTGTAATCCCAGCTACTCAGGAGGCTGAGGCAGGAGAATCGCTTGAACCCGGGAGGCGGCGGTTGCAGTGAGCCAAGAATGTGCCACTGCACTCCAGTCTGGGCAACAAGAGCAAAACTCCGTTTCAAAAAATATATATATTATTTACTCTTTTTAAATAAAATTTTAATAAATTCCTTACTAGCTTTTCCCCAGAGGTAGCATAATAAGCACTGTAAATGGGGCCCCTAACTGCAAAAGAGAGAAGATAGACTTCAGTGGAATACCTAAATGCAAACTCAAGAAGCTTGCAGAGCTGGTACTGAGACTGGAAGGCAGAGCAGTGGCCGTGTGTTGAGAGGTGGGAGCAGGTGGAACTCAGAGCTCAGATTCCCAGAGTGGACGCTGAGGTCCCCATTTACGGGTGGAAGGCTTGGACCCACCTTGGATGGAGCCTTAGCACGGATGAGGACCGCAGCCATTGAAAGCATCAACTTGTTTGACTGTGTATCAAGACTATTCTTATGCTGTACTTGTTTCTCTTGGGCATGCCATTAGTGTGGTATTCATAAGCAGAAATGTAAAAAAGAAATGACAAGAAGTATGTATAGTAAATCCACCTACTTTCAGATTTAGTTCAAAGATTATGACCTAAGCAGAGGTCTGGTTCGTTTAGGCTTTGTGAACATTTGTCCAAATTATAGTAGGTTTACTAGCTAAAATCCCTGGGTGAGTCTGATGAAAAGTATTTCTTTTTTTCCATTGCTGTTTTTGTAACATCCACATCAATCTAAATTGCTGTTTAGATAAGGTAACTCTACTTTACTGGCCAAGAGTGAGGAATAAAATCTGTTAAGTGGATGCAACACATTTCCTTTCTGCCTGTTCATTCAACAGGCCCTATAGTGAAATGGCAAAGAGCCTTTATTCAAATGGTGGGTGCCATGCTGTGGTAATACAGATGGATTTTTCACAACATGCAGAAGTGCTTATAAATAGATACGTTTCAATCAACAAGTAGCTTATTCAGGCATGTGCTCAAATATAGTAGCTGCATTCATTAGACAGACATTTCCACTAATCCCAAGACTATACTAATAAAAGAGTAATCCCTTATGGGCTAAAGGTGGTGCTGGTTTGCTTTTAACTCTTAGAGTCCTTCACACACCAAGGCCTAATAATAATTGTAGCTGTATTTGGTTTTCACCAAGTGAACTTAACCCATTTATGCCGGAGGTTGCAATTTTTAAAATGTTTGTAATCAGAGCTTGGTGATGATCTTGAGCAGTAGAATATAAATAACTCTCACACGCTTAGCGTTCCGATAATGGAACACTAAGCATGAATGGGTTAAAAGCTGAGCTTATCTTGGAATTTTTCTATTCTTATTTTTTAAATTGCAGGAGCTTAGTGAAGAAAGAGGTGCTTTTTACTCTAGATATGTAGCTTGCAGCAAAGCCAATTCAAAAATCAATTTGTGTGTGTGTGTGTGTCTGTGTATGTTTTCTCAATACTTTATCATAAAGCATTTCTCTCTTTCACCTTGGTTAACAGAAGTGTTCGCTTGAGCACATTGTTTTGTTCTTTGATGTTAGGATAAATAACAAGTTAATGATCAATTTTGAGAGCATTTGCAAGCTCTCACTATAGTGGTTTGCCTTTTTACATGGACTTTTTCCCCTTCAATAGCTCTTTACTTCTCCTGTGTTACTCAGAGCTAGCTGTAATCCGTTTGCTTAGCACAATACCAAAATTTTTCCCTTGCCAGTGATGTCAAATCTGCCTTCCTTTTTATTATTCTGACTTATAAACTGCAGTGACCTCTGAGTCAACTTCACCATCTCCTGGCCCTGTGCCAACATTGTGATCTGTGAAAAGAGAGTCCTGCCAAGGGCTACGAGGCAGAAAACTGATATTATTAAAGTGGTCTTCTGAACGGTAAGTATCAGCCATTTTCTAATCTTTTGTGATGTTATTGCCAGCAAGGGAGAGGGGGAGGTAAATCATGTTAACATGTTAAGGATCTAACCCATGCATTGCTAACCTTTTCCAGATTGGGGGCTCAGATGCACATCAGTGTCTATAGGCACACAGAAATTATTGCACAGCGCTATTCACAGACAGACGTGCTTCTTGAAGACTCTATTACTGTGAGTCTCGAAGAAGTTTCTTAATTTCTGAGCCTCAGTTCCCTTTTCTGTAGCCTGTTAGTGATACATATTGTACAGGGGTGCTATATACAAGACAAATTGAGAAGATGCATATAAAGTGTTTTAAAAATAAATGATATAGAAACATGATGCAAGCAAGAGTGTCTTAAAAACTGTTTGATTATTAACACTGACAACCTTTTCTGTGCCCCACTCAGGAGCCTGACGACATTCAGTGCTGCTGGGCCGCAATACCAAAATGTTTATTAGCATTTTCATTCTGTAGCAACCTTTTCCCCATTTCTGGGCGGCAAGTGGTGATAAGGGAAGGGATAAAGAAGAGAACATGATGGATTTTTATGAAGTAAATGAGAAAGAACCAAGTTCCCATCATTAGGATTTCTCAGGTTAGTGCTAAGAAAAGGAAAGAAAAAGAATGATGGGGAGGAACAGGCAAAAGCAAAACAAAAAACTGATGAAACGGGGAAGTGGCTGACTAGGATGAAGTCAGAGGATTAGAAGACCTGGATGAAGTCTCAGCTTTACCACCTCCTAGCTGTGACCACACCTGATCTCCTGAACCTCTCAGCCCCAATTTCCTCAGCTATAAAAATGCAAATACCCACCCTACAGACCAGACTGAATTTATCAGATGATGTATGTGAAGTACTTTGTGAGCAACTGTGTACAATTAGTTATTGTTATGATCAAGAGAAAGGGGCATTGTGGATGGTCTATCAGTTCCCAGGGCCTGGTGGAGTCTCTGGATAGGAGTATGCAGCAACTTGGCTCCAGTTTCTGTAATCCCATGGGGGTCATAACCCTGGGGTTTGAGAAACAATGCTGCAGAATATCTTTCAGTCTTGCCCTTCATCACTCTATTTACTGAATCAATTTGGCCTAGAGGATATCTGGTGCCAGGGTTGATAAAAGCTGTCTTGGTATTTTTACAGCTGTCTGGTTAGAAGACGTGCGTATGCCATAACAGCTCCAGCTTCTTCTCTCTCTCTCTCTGTCTGTCTCTCACACATACAGACACACACACACACACACACACACACACACACACACACACATACACATGCAAACAGCACTAGAATGTGCTTTACATATGAAGTTGATTCCCCTGATCATTATCAGTAGGACATAGGGTGATTTCTTCAGATAGGTATGCCCTGATTAATGTTCACACTCCTCCTTTAATAAATTACAGAAGTGTTCCATGTTTATCTACAAAAAATTAGAAAATACAAATAAGCAAGAAGAAAAAAAAATCATCCAAAATCCCACCCTTGTAGAAGATATAACCCTGTTCACTTTTTTGTATTTCCTTCCAGACTATTTATTATATAAATAAATACACATATATCTGAGAGATACTGGCTTTTTGTTTGTTTTTACTTAATTAAGCTTTTCAGTAAAACACATGGAAGCAGGCCCTTTGTGAACATTTGTGGAGTTCCAGGCCAGAGTAAATATACAGGCCTGCTTACTATATATCTAAATATTTCAAAGTTAAAAATCAAGCAAATAAATGGTTAAGTAAAATTGATTTTATGCTTTGATTGTGACAAATATTCCTTTATAATGACTCGGAAGGCCGTATTTTAATTTGGAGTTCTTAAACATCTCAGAACTCAACCAGAAAGGAGAGCAGAGAGAGTCAGCTCCCTTCCCCTATCCTGCTTTGCAGGGTCCCAGGTACACATGTGCACACGCCGGCTACAGGTCTCAGGCATGTCTTCAGCACCCACAAACAGCTCTGCATGGCTACCACTCAGACCTGGGGGTTCACAGACCAGAGGGCACTCCACCCTCAGGAATATGGGCGCAGAGGAGAGGCACATGCAGCCTCCGGATGCAGGCTTTGGGCCTGTGGGCAGGGAACTCTTGGGGTCCCAGTTACCTGAGCACGGTCTAGAAGATGGGGCTAATACAGGCTCTAGGCATGAGCAAAAAGTATCTGGAGGAGGGAGAAACAGAAAGTCCCAAAACATAGGCATTCCTTGCCTTGGTTTAAGGGTGGTACTGGTGGGAAAATGGTGTCAGATACAGGAGTTGTTGGGAAAAACACCTATTCCTGTCTCCTTAATATTCCTTGAAAGAGAGAAAATTTCTGTTCCACAAGGTAGGAAGGAAAAGAATAGGAGCCTCTCTTTACTCCATATTTATTCCAAGGGAGGAGGAGTGACTTAAGGAACTAGACAAATCCAACTCTCTCTCTCTCTGTGTGTGTGTGTGTGTGTGTGTGTGTGTGTGTGTGTGTGTGTGTGTGTGTGTCTCTTTCTGTCTCTCTCTCAAGATAGGTAAAACCAAGGTCTGTCAACCTTGACACTGTTGGCATTTGGGCTGGATAATTCTTTGTTGTTGGGGGCTGTCCTGTGAATTTTTATTTTTATTTGTTGATTTATTTATTTTTGAGACAGAGTCTCGTTCTGTTACCTAGGCTAGAGTGCAGTGGCACGATCTCTGCTCACTGTAACCTCCGCCTCCTGGGTTCAAGCGATTCTCCTGCGTCAGCCTCCCAAGTAGCTGGGACTACAGGTGCCCACCACCACGCCCAGCTTATTTTTGTATTTTTAGTAGAGAGGGGTTTCACCATGTTAGCCAAGATGGCCTCAATCTCCTGAACTTGTGATCCATCTTGGCGGATCACGACACCCCAAGTGTCTCCTGGGAGACAAAATCACCCTCTTTTGAGAACCAGTAGGTTAAATAACAGATTAGGCAGATAAGGAAAGAATTAGTGAAAGGAAGGATAGCTCTAGAGATAATTCAGAACATTCTGCATCAGACAGGGAGAGAAATAAAAGTAGTTAAGAGACACATAGGACAGATTTCCAGAAGAATATATCTAATCAGAATTTCAGGATATGAAAGAGAATTGGGAAGAAGTATTTGAAGAGTTAACGGCAGACAATTCTTCAGAATTGATGAAAATTATTCTCAAATTCAGAATATCCACATAGACTTAAAATCACCTCTCAATTTACACATACATATAGCCTAAAGGATTTTTAAAAGGAAAAAATTTTAAATTATACCATTTATAATAGCATGAAAAATTCAGATACTTTGCAATAAATCTTTTTAAAGATTGATAAAGGCACATATATCAGCAGGAAAAAACATTCTCTGGCAGACTATACATTATATGTGTCAAAACATTACTATCGCACATAAATATCTGCATGTTATTATATATCAATTAAAAAATAAAATAACTTTTAAAAAGTCCTAAATTTAAAAATGGTGAGAAATACTATGCGGATGAATTGGTAAACTCAATATAGTAAAGATGTTGTTTCTCCTCAAACTGATCTATATATTCAGTAGCGTCTTAATAAAAATTCTAGTCTACTTCTTTGTGGAAATTAAAAAATATGATTCTAAAACATACAGGTTGAGCATCCCAAATTCTGTATCTAGAAAACCCTATAGTCCTTCCTTCAGCTGATAAACAACTTCAGCAAAATTTCAGGATACAAAATTAATGTACAAAAATCAGTAACATTCCTATATATCAACAACCAGCCAAGCTGAGAACCAAATCAGAAACACAGTCCCATTCACAATTGCCACAAAAAGAATAAAATACCAAGGAATACAGCTAACCAGTGAGGTGAAAGATCTCTGCAATGAGAATACAAAACACTGCTCAAAGAAACCGAAGATGACATGAACAAATGGAAAAACATCCCATGTTCATGGATAGGAAGTATCAATATCATTAAAAATGGAAATACTGCCCAAAACAATTTACAGATTCAATGCTATTTGTATCAAACTACCAATTACATTCTTCAAAAACTAGAAAAAACTATTTTAAAATTTCATATGGAACCAAAAAGCCCAAATAGCCAAGGCAATCCTAAGCAAAAAGGACAAAGTTGGAGACATCACGTTACCCAACTTCAAACTACACTACAGGGCTACAGGAGCGAAAACAGCATGGTAGTTGTATAAAAATGACACATAGACCAATGGAACAGAACAGAGAGCCCAGAAATAAGGCCACACACCCACGACCATCTGATCTTCAACAAAGCTGACAAAAACAAGCAATAGGGAAAGGAATCCCTATTCTATGAATGGTGCTGGGATAACTGGTTAGCCATATGCAGAAGATTGAAACTGGACCCCTTCGTTATACCATATAAAAAAAAATCAACTCAAGTTGGATTAAAGATTTAAAAAACCCTGGAAGACAACCTAGGCTATACCATCCTGGACATAAGAACGGGAAAAGATTTCATGACAAAGACACCAAAATCAATCACAAGAAAAGCAAAAATGGACAAATGGGACCTAATTAAGAGTGTCTGCACAGCAAAAGAAACTATCAACAGAGTAAAGAGAAAATCTACAAATTGGGAGAAAATTTTTGCAAACTATGCATCTGACAAAGGTCTAATATCCAGCAGCTATAAGGAACTTAAACAGATTTACAAGAGAAAAAAAAAAAGTGAACAAAGGACATGAACAGACCCTTTTCTAAAGAAGACATGCATGCAGCCAACAAGCATATGAAAAGCAGCTCAATATAACTGATATCAGAGAAATGCAAATCAACATAATGAGATGCCATCTCAAACCCAGAATGGCTGTTATTACAAAGTCAAAAAATCAGATGCTGGTGAGATTGCAGAGTAAAGGGAACACTTATACACCGCTGGTGGCAGTATAAATTCGTTCAATCATTGTGGAAAGCAGTATGGTGATTTTCCTAAAGACAGAAAATCCATTCAACCCAGCAATCTCATTACTAGGTATATACCTAGAGGAATATAAATTGTTCTACCATAAAGACTCATGCACGTGAATGTTCATTGCAGCACTATTCAAATATCGAAGATGTGGAATCAATGTAAATGCCCATCAATGACAGATTGGATAAAGAGAATGTGGTACATACACAGTGTGGAATACTGTGCAGCCACAAGAAAGAACGAGATCGTATCTTTTGTGGGAACCTGGATGGAGCCGAAGGTCACTATCCTTAGCAAACTAATGCAGGAACAGAAAACCAAATACCATGTGTTCTCACTTATAAGTGGGAGCTAAGTGTGAGAACTCATAGACACAAAGAAGGGAACAACACACACTAGGGCCTACTTGAGGATAGAGACTGGAAGGAGGGAGAGGAGCGGAAAAAATAACTATTGGGAACTAGGCTTAAGACCTGGGTGATGAAATAATCTGAACAACAACCTCCCCCTCCATGACACAAGTTTACCTATATAACAAACCTGCAAATATCCCCCTGAACCTAAAATAAAAGTTTAAAAATATAAAAACTATAAATCAATAAGAAAAAAAATCCAGTGGGAAAAAACAAGTATTTTGCAAAAGAGGATAATATCCAAAGAAAAATACAAAAGTAGACTCAGTCATCAGAGAAATGCAA